TCGCGTTGGGGGGCGATTAGAACACTCGTCATTATCTTTCCAGTCCAAGCATCCAATCTTATTAGCCAACCATACGATCACTACCATGATCATCCGTTATACGCATGTTGTATCTCTCCATGCCGGTCTTCAATCCACTCTTTCAAAACTTAGACAAGAGTTTTGGATTTTGAGAGCAAGAAGTCTAGTAAAGTCGGTTATTTATAAATGTGTTCCGTGTACAAGAGAAAAGGCTCAAGTAGCTAGTCAGCTGATGGGCCAGCTACCTACAAGTCGTGTTTCGGCGCCCTCTCGAGCGTTTCTACATAGCGGTGTCGACTACGCCGGACCAGTCTTTACACGTGCTTCAGCCGGCCGAGGAATTACCTCGCGAAAGGCCTACATAGCACTCTTTATTTGTTTAGCCACACGCGCTATTCATCTCGAACTGGTTAGTGATTACTCGACTGCTGCCTTTCTTAACGCTTTTCAAAGATTTTGTGCGCGACGTGGATTACCAGAGGTCATGTACTCGGACAATGGTACTACGTTCGCAGGAGCAGACAAGGAGTTGTCGCAAGCGTATCGAGACGCTCAAAGCGATGTTAACTTTCTCAACTTTATCGTGTCAGATAACATCACATGGAGTTTTATCCCTCCCCATGCTCCACACTTCGGTGGATTGTGGGAGGCAGGGGTCAAAAGCGTTAAATACCACCTTCGTAGGATATTAGGAAATCACACCCTCACTTTCGAGGAACTTACTACCGTGCTTTGTAAAGTTGAAGCATGCTTAAATTCAAGGCCCCTGTGCCCATTGACTGATTCGATTGACGATTTTGAAGTGCTCACTCCGGGTCACTTTTTGATTGGATCGGCAATCACAATCAATCCAGAACCTTCTGTTCTGCAAATCAATGAAAACAGACTGTCACGGTGGCAGTTGTTGCGACAGATCACGGAGCGTTTTTGGAAGCATTGGCACGCCGACTATATTAACACGCTTCAACAGCGAACTAAGTGGCGAAAGGCAAAGTCACTTATCCATATCGGTTCCATGGTTCTGATTCAAAATCCTCTTCTTCCTCCTTGCAAATGGGAACTCGGACGCGTAATCCACTGTCAACCAGGCTCTGACGGATTAATTCGAGTAGTTTCCGTCAAAACAGCGAACTCGGAATATAAGCGTCCCATAACTAAGTTATGTGTGCTTCCAATCGACGTTGATTCTGACGATTCCATCGAGGATCAACCTCGAGTGTCAAGCAATTAGCGATAATTCTAGTGTAAGTTAATTATACGATTCTAATTCTAATTACGTTATAATTTATGTAGCAAGTAAGTCAAGTTTATGTTCATTAGTTAAGTCAAAGCGTGCAAGTAAAGTCGCCAAGGCGGGCGGCGCTTGCAATCCTAAGTTTAAGGTCGTGCGAATTAGTACGAACAGCGGATACTGTTGTTTACGCGATCTGCGTTAAATGTTAAAATCCGTCCGCGATAACAACAGTGATCTTTAGAAGTCAACTTTAAGTCAATATTGTCAGCCGTTTCAGGTCTACAATTTCACTTTAGTGCGATCTGAGCGTAATCAGAAGTTACATCTCAGTATCTTATATATTGCATGGGATCAATCGTGACGAACAATCACACGCAATTAGTTTTCATTTAGCAAACCTCACTCACACGGGAGTGAACGATGCATCCTTGTGTAAGGTATACCGCGAGATCGAGTAGTTTCGAAATTCAAATTTCGAGGCGGGCGGTATGTTTAGGATTGAGAAAAATTTGCCGCGCTCGATCGAACGAAAATTCACGGATCAGTCGAGAATTTAAGTGAAAGCAATTGCCGCGGGCCTAACACGGCAGCACCTCGCGGCACGCACCGCGGGAAGCGCCGCGGAAGCAAATTTTCGGCCAATTAGCGCGTTCCGCGTGTACCCCTCGCGATCAGGCGGTCGATAGCGTGATCGATGAGGGTAGCATTCCGTCGGGGACAGTCGTCGCGGAGAGAGAGCCGGCGTTGGTCGCAAGTCAGACCAAAGAATTCGCGTTACGGTAATAATGCGTGAATGTATTATCGCGACAAATACGAACAGATTTGCGCGGTATTGTGTGACATATCGAGAGTGAAGAGTTAACGGGTAATCGGATCTCGTTCGCGACGCAACATACACGTTCTCGCGACGAATTCGCCATTGTCTCGTGCATGCTACGTGCACGTGATCGAACATTACGAGTATTCGGATCCTGCTGGAGGATTCACTGCGATATTCGCGTATCGGTGAATGCATGTCGTGCATTCTCTCTCTCGCTCGCTCTCTCTCTCTCTCTCTCTCTCTCTCCCGCGCTCTCTCTCACAATTGTCGTAGTACGCCGTCGCGACGAACTCGCCGTCGTATTGTGCACGCTGCGTACACGTGATCGACTCCTGCGAATATTCGAATCCTTCTGGAGGATTCTGTGTGATAGTTAATTGCATATAAATGCACGTGATCGAACATTACGAATATTCGGATCCTGCTGGAGGATTGAATGTCACATAATTGAAGACAATTATTAAGTCGCGTCAAATCATATGTGCGCGTGTTCGATAAATTATAACGGTCGTCCACAAGAGGACAAATTTGTTGTTGTACGATTCGCGATCGTGACTTTCAAATAAGACATTGTTTTCTCTTGCGACAAAAAACATTGGTGTCGATATCGAACAAACAGTTTTTTCTTTTGTGATCGCGAGCTTCGAAACGTGTACAGCAAACGCTTTCGATTCTCATATCGAGTTTTTGTTTTTTTCTTTGATTTGTTTGTGTCAAGTCCAGGTGACTTTCTGACATGTGAAATAATAAATTGATCTGTTTTTGTTCATCAACTTCAAGACTTCTTTTCAATTCGGCTTCCTACGTAAATCATCAATCTCAGCGCACACATGGGTGCGCGATCACCCTATTAAGATACAGTCCACTCAACAATTATCCTATTGTCCATCCATCACATCTCTCATGAGATTCCTATGATTTCTTTCCAATAAAAAAAAAAACGGGTGAAGGATTTGAGAGGCGGCGCGCGAGACGCGGCCCTAAAAAGGCCGAGCATGCTCGTTCGCCGCAGCTTCGCGTCGGACCACGGTTCAAGCCGCGCGTTCGCAACAAATCAATAAGTTAATTTCTTTAGTAATATAAGAATAATATGAAATGTGTCGGAGCAGAAACATAAAAGCAACATAGATTTATTATATTCTGGACGGGTTCGTACTCCGTCCGCGTAATACGTAATATTATTAATATGTCGAGACGCAAATGTCGATTGTGCAACGTCTTTTTTTAATTATTCAAAAACTAGTAAGTAAGTGTTTAAAACTTGAGAGATGAGAAAGTGCACTTTAATGTTATAAGTTAAAGTGAGGAGATATGCAATAATAGATAAATCATTTTATTACGTTGATTTTTTATTAAACAGTGAGTTTAAATATGTAACACTAATAATGAATACGCAAACAGCTAACCTGTAATTAAACATTTTTTATTTTCTGGATGAAGGTGGCAGCATAATATTATTTATTTATTATTAGTTTGGAAAATCGCTATCTCCAAGAAACAAACACAATAATTTAGTGTTGCTTTTAGGAAGATTTATAAAACCTTCAGAAAGATTTAATGTTCCTTCTTGCAGTGCCAATGAATATCAGAAGTGATAAAAGTATCACTACTATTACTATTACGTATACGTAAATAACATTAAAATGTTTTATATTTTTTTAGAGACTGCGAGTATATGTAATGTATGTATGTACTTACTGTGATGTATTATTATATGACACAAATTAATGTTTTTACTTTTATTTATGAAGCTTACATAGTTTATTTTTTGTACATGCATGTTTACATAATTATGTAATTTAATAATATAAAATTTATTAACATAAATAATATCAATTTCAGTTTTTTGTTTAAAGTTTTTTAGAGTTTAAAATTTAAATGTAATAAAGTATATCAATATAAAATAAAATATAATTGGTATTAAAATAAAAATATAATTTGTATTGAATATTTTATCATGGATCATCGTGATGCAGCCCTCTTCTAATATACTGATATTGCCATGGAACTTCACCTTGTGGCGTTAAAAAATAATCAGCCAATGTATCTCTTTGTCTATATGCAACTGCAGTTGCATTATGCGTTGAAGTAGGAGGGATGTCTTTAAATACATTTTGAGTATATCGCCGCCACTCTCCAGGAATAACGTTACCTGTTGCATCTTCCGAATCAATAAAATTAGGAGGACAATATATTTTATTCTCCGTTTGCATAAGATCTTCCTCAAACTTTATATAATTATGTAAACATATTGTCGCCATGACAATTTTATCTATATATTTAGGGTGCATATTAATCGGTTTTCGATAAATTCTCCACCGTGAAGATAAGATGCCAAAAGTGTTTTCTATTGTACGTCTGGCTCTAGACAATCTGTAATTCAATAAAACGCTTGATAAGCATACATATATGTATATATATCTTATATAATAACGCTAATAATAAATACGCAAACTAACCTGTAATAAATATTTTTTTTTTTCATCATGTAATTTTCCAGCGTAAGGTCGCATCATAATACTACTGATGGGAAAACCGCTATCTCCGAGAAAAAAGCATGGCAATTTAACGTTGCTTCCAGGAAGATTTGCGAATCCTTTAGGAAGATTTAATGTTTCTTCTTGCAGTGCCGAATGAATATCAGAAGAAGTAAAAATTCCACCATCGCTATTACCATCATACGAACCTACATCGACTAATGTGAATCTATATCTGTGATCACATGCAGCCATCAATACAATACTAAATGTCTTTTTATAGTTAAAAAATAAGCTTCCAAAATTGGCGGAGCTTGTATTTCCACGTGTTTCCCATCAAATGATCCAACACAATGAGGAAAATTCCAATTTCCAGAAAACCAGTGCAAATATTTTTCCATTCTTCTTCTCTTGGTAGACGAAGGTAAATTGGTTGCAATATTTTACTATTACTGAACAAGTTTCATGAATAATTTTTCGGACTGTTGACTCTCCACATCTAAAAGCTAGGGCAATAGACAATATTTGATCCCCAGTTGCTAAATATCTGCAAAAATGTCTTGATATGTATATAAAACAATATTACCAAATAAAATATTTGCAAAAGTAAATTTACTAGACATGTTTATTTTATTTTTTTATTTAACAGTATATGATAAAAAAGTAATTAAGTACCTCAGAGTTATGATCAATCGTTGTTCTGGACTAAAAGCTCTTTTGCTCAATTTAGTTAAAAAAGGCTTTGTCATTTGTAATAAATGATTAAACGTTTCTTTCCTCATTCTTGCATATCGAAAAAATACATCGATATCATTATATTTCAATTCGTTAAAGAGATGTTCAAAGTCCCCATACAGAGGACGTGCAACGTTGATGGGTCTCACCCACCATCTCCTATTTAACCATCTCTTTTTTCGATTCCTTTCTTCTAATAACAGCAATAAGCACAATTGTAAAAAAGATAAAATAAGAAAATCTTCTTCCATGTAATTCACATCCATGATGTCTTATGTCCAATTATGTAGAAGTTGAACATCTAAAAATACAAAAATATGTAACCTTACACGTAGACATAAAATAAGAAAAATAATTACTAATAATAAATTAAATCAATGATATTAATAACTTTACAATTGATTAAACTTTTACCATTATTGAAAGGATATCTAGACTTAATCTTCCAGGCTCTTCTTAAACTAACTTAAACACTGGTACTACTGATCCAATTATTCTTGGAATATAGTTGCACAAAAGAATTTGAAGAAGAAATTTGTAAATTATTGTCTTCAATAGAGATTTATGAAACTCATCCACTATAATTACATTTATATGACACGCGCGTGGTGATGACACTGTCTTGAATTATCTTTTAATATAATTTTTATCCTAAACTTTTGATGTTTCACTTCACCTAGATATAAAATAAGAAAAAATAATTAATATTCATTCAATAATATTATTTATGTCTTTTAATTTGATAAAATTTACCGTATATCAATTTTATGTGATTGCGAGAGTGTAGCATTCGATGGTCAACTATATGGTTAGAATATTATAAAGTCTTATGCACAAGTTTGTGCGTTGACGAACGTTACGTTATGCTCCCTGCTTTATGCCTTATGCAAAAGTCTGTGCTCCCGCCTTAAAGCTTATCTTAAAGTCATGTACAACTGACTTGAAAAATAACCTTACTTTCTAATAAACACGATCTTATTTGATTCAAATAAGACCATCAAGATTTGATTATGAATCCGACTAAACTTAAGAAGAGAAAAGCATCTTAAAAGACTTTGTACTTAAGACAGTCTTAAATATAAGAACGGACTATGAAATACCGTCCTTTATTTTGAAAAATAAGAATTTAAATTTAAAAAGAGTTAGCTAAAATCTTTACTTTCGAAAAAATCACAGTTGTTTTCCGACATATTTGTTGACCCAAAATGTCTCCAAGTAATTTTATAATAAAATACTGCTATTGAGTGTCCGATAATAATTTAATGACACTCATTGGTCGTATACATGTATACGTATATATTCACAAATATGTTTTAGGCAGTGCAGCGCGTGGCCTTATATCCTCACTCAGCGGAATTCTAACTGCGAGAAAAGACGCCGCGTAGCGGCGAAGGCACGAATGAGTGCACGACTTTACGGACGGTTTTCCGCGAGCGCTTTCGCGCGCAGTCTTGTCTGGCGGTGTAGCATATGTTACAAGCGTTTTACTATGAAAATATAATTGTGAAAATATATATACGGATTGCTTTTTACCTAAAATTAGACCAGACCGGATTTCACATTGGATAAAAGAATATAAGTGAATGTTTAGATATCAATTTGGAAGCCTAGTAAACGAGAGTAGTTCATTCTACATTTGCATGTGTACACGAAAATGTAGGATGAATTATTCTCATTTACTTTATAATCTCATTGCTTTATAATCATTACTATATTTGCAAAATATAATTTATATATATAAATTATATTATAGAAATATATGTATTTATATTAAATTTTTATTTGCTATTATACTTAAGTAATAACTCACTTAATAAAGTAATAACAAATAAAAAAATGTATAATTTAATTTTATTATTATTCGACACATTTGGATAAATGAGAAATTCTAGAACAAAGGAACATTTTTTACTTACAGACAAGTGACGCAGTTTACTAAACTTATATTTTATTAACGCTCGTATTTTCATTTTCTGATAATAATTCTTTCTAATTTGATAATAGATTTGTAATTAGCAGAGAAGTGCGTATATAAGTACAAATATGTTAGAAGAAAATCTGCTCGAAATTCACAGTACAAATACTCTTCTTTCTTCTGCAAGCAAAGGAAATGTTATCACTTTATCTTCTTATTTATACTTCACATTTTACATGGTAATTTTTAAATCAAGAATTTAATATATTTGATAAATTAACAAATGTTGTTTGTAAACAAATCAATTATAAATTTCCAAAAAGTTATTGCATGTTTAGTTCAAACTCGAACATATAAAATTACGGAATATTAAAAAAGATATATTGAGATAAATAATTATATATAATAAGAAAATATATAAATTAAGTAACAAAAAGCAAAAATTATAAATAGTGTAAAGTTTAATAATTTTATAGTTTAATATTTTAATAGTTTAATCATTTATATATATAATTTTAATAGTATATAATTAGTATATTATATGTATATACATATATACATATATGTAGTATAATAAAATAATTTATATAATAAGTGTAGTAATTTAATAATTTATTGTTAATTATTTTGTAAATATTGTTACGTCCGCGACCACCCTTCTGATTATCTCGAAGAAATGTCGCGCGCACTCAAACTCTCACACGCCGGAAATGAATACACTCGCGTAGTAAAGCAATAAACTTTAATATTAGAAGCCAATAAACCGTAGCGATACAATATAATATTACGTGCATTAATCCTAATGCAAATATATCCGCCGATCAGCTGTCAGAGGATACGTCCTCACCGCACGACAGCTAGACCAGAACAAAACGCATCGATAGACATAAACAGCTTCTTAGCGACGATAGAAGATCCTGATAGAAGACCCTGATAGAAGACCCTGATAGAAGATCCTAATAGAAAATCCTGACGATCGTATAATACAGGGATGTATCGTCAAACCGGGCGGGACACGGACATAACACTTGCCCCTCCTCTTCAAAATTGTCGTCCCGACAATTAATTCAATAGGACAGATCCAGAACAATTCCTTACAGGAACCTCGCCGAATTACAGTCCCCGATGTGACTCCATGTCTCCCCGAACTGCTGTTCCAGGTACAACGAACTGCACACCATCTTGGGTCCAATCGACTTTATTGATTCCAGGAATTTTCCTCAAAGTCCCAAAAATTCTTCAGGCAAGAGAGGGGTAACATTCCGTGGACCCAACGCCCTTTTAAAGGACTTCTCAAGCCTCTGCCTCGGCATTTGCCCAAAGCCCCCGGGAAAAAAACCACGGATCAAAATAACCACGGGGTGAGGCAGTCTTCGTCCCTTTTTGTGAGGTAGTCTTCATCCCTTTTATCTCTCTCATCTTCATCAGGTCCTTTTTCTTTTTGTTGCCAAATAAGATTTTCCTGAAAAACAAATCTTACGGCAGAAAAATTGAAGAATACACAATTTTATTAAAAGTACAAGTAACCTATCGTGGGTTCCGATTCTAATGCAAGTTTCGACTATAAAAAGGAGCTAATCTATCCGAATGCACAATTTTCCTTTCAGAAATCTCTCACTAAGAATAGAAACATCGGAACTATTTTAAATCGACAAATTCTTCCGTCCAAATTTCCCTTATAATAAAAATTATTTCTAGTTTTACTTATTCTAGCACATTGTGAGCTTATATCCGAGCTCAAAATTATTGTGTAAAACATTGTTCGATTCGCTATTTCTACGTGTGGTGTTGTTCGGAATTCTATTATGTATGTGACTTAGCTGGTTATTTTCCGATGAGGCGAGTCTTTCCTGTAATCGGTGCAGTTCCTCGTCCCGCTGTTGCAGCATCGTCAAAAATTGAGCCTGCTGTTGTGAGCGTTCCTCTCGCAATTCTCTAATTTGTTCCAACGCCTCCTGTAAAGCGTCCACGCGCTCGGGAGTTTCCTCGCTGTTAATTGCTCGAAGTGGAGTCGACTGTTGTTCTTCGCCGATCATTGCTCGTGACGAAGCTTGCGAACGAGTAATCCTCGGAGAATGCACCAAAGACATCGTAACCTTTTCACCGCACACACACACGAAATATTTGTCCTTTTTTTACTACGGTTCGTGGCTCGTGTTATGTCCGAACGATCCCGGACGAGCCCCCAAAATGTTACGTCCGCGACCACCCTTCTGATTATCTCGAAGAAATGTCGCGCGCACTCAAACTCTCACACGCCGGAAATGAATACACTCGCGTAGTAAAGCAATAAACTTTAATATTAGAAGCCAATAAACCGTAGCGATACAATATAATATTACGTGCATTAATCCTAATGCAAATATATCCGCCGATCAGCTGTCAGAGGATACGTCCTCACCGCACGACAGCTAGACCAGAACAAAACGCATCGATAGACATAAACAGCTTCTTAGCGACGATAGAAGATCCTGATAGAAGACCCTGATAGAAGACCCTGATAGAAGATCCTAATAGAAAATCCTGACGATCGTATAATACAGGGATGTATCGTCAAACCGGGCGGGACACGGACATAACAATATATATACATATATCTATATATATAAGCACCGTCTGTCTGTATGTATGTACGCGAACTACTTCCGCATTTGTGGACCGATATTCGTGAAACTGGTACCAAAATGTTGTAAATTTTTGGGGGTGGCTGCTGTGGGGTTTTTTTTTTATTTTTAATTTTTTTTTTTTTCTACAGAGGAGGGTATGTTTAATCTTTTTTGCAATATTTCTGAACACATGGTATCAAAATGTTGCAAATTTTTTGGAGATAACGACGATGCGGTTTTTTTAAGTGTTACACCCCACCCACGCACCCACCACGCGCATGCGCATTACGACGCATTTTCACGGACCAATTTTCAGAAATTAGTACCAAAATGTTGCAAATTTTTTTGAGAAAACTACTGGTTTTTTTTTAAGTTTACCCCTCCACCCACGCACCCACCCACGCAATCGTATATTTATGAACCGATTTTTTAAATTGGTACCTCTTCCGGCTCTTGCCCATCGAGCTTTCTGTTTTACTGCAAAAAATGATATATTACATAATATTTATTTATAATATTATATTATTATATATAATATTGAGGAGGGAGAGGAGAGAGAGAGAGAGAGAGAGAGAGAGAGAGAGGGATTAATTTAATCTATATATATAAGCACCGTCCGTCTGTCTGTCTGTCTGTCTGTGCCCGAACTACTTCCGCATTTGTGGACCGATTGTCTCGAAATTGGTACCAAAATGTTGCAAATTTTTCGGGGGTGGCTGCTGTGGGTTTTTTTTTTTTTTAATTTTTTATTTTTTCTTCAGAGGAGGGGGTGTTTTTGCGAAAAAAATTTTTTTGCAATATTTCTGAACACATGGTATCAAAATGTTGCAAAATTTTTGGAGATAGCGACGATGCGGTTTTTTTAAGTGTAACACCTCCACCCACGCATCCACCCACGCATCCACCCACACGCATGCGCATTTATGGACCAATTTTCACGAAATTAGTACCAAAATGTTGCAAATTTTTCTGAGGAAACTGGTGTTTTATTTTTTTAAGTTTACGCCTCCACCCACGCAATCATCCACGCGCGTGCGCATTTATGGACCAATATTTTTACGAAATTGGTACAAAAATGTTGCAAATTTTTTGGAGATGGCGACGATGCGGTTTTTTCAAGTGTTACACCTCCACCCACGCACCCACCCACGCGCATGCGCATTTATGACCAATTTTCACGAAATTAGTACCAAAATGTTGCAAATTTTTCTGACAAAGCTGGTGTTTTATTTTTTTAAGTTTACGCCTCCACCCACGCACCCACCCACGCAATCGTATATTTATAAACCGATTTTTTTAAAATTGGTACCAAAATGTTGCAAATTTTTTGAAGATGGCGACGATGTGGTTTTTTCAATTGTTACACCTCCACCCACGCATTCATCCACGCGCGTGCGCATTTATGGACCAATATTTTTA